ATACTGAACTCAAAACATAGCACTGTACCAGCTACTAGGAAGACAGTTAACTACATCCCAGCTGAAACTAGGACAAAGAGCAAGAGCAGAGATGAGTTCCTTCAGCTCCATAGGTTGTAGATGAGTTACAGGAGTGATTTGGTATTACTATTTCCATGCCGCATACCACTCAAATCCCCAGGTAGCCAGCAGGCTTTGCTGACAGGTCTGTAATGGGGAGGAGTGTGGCTATACCTAATGGGCATTTTCATATCAGATTCAAAGGAGGAACATGTTATCACGCAGTATAGTAGAGCCAGTCTTATTTGGAGCCATTTTTTGGTGGTTGTTCAAGCAATATTAATTAAAGATGAAGTCACTGGACACATTGCATAGATTCAGTAGCAGGCAAGCATGGCATTCTTGTGTCTTTTTCTTTTTCCACTAATTAATAAATCACTTGGGAACTGTAAGGTTTCCAGGGTCCTCTGCACAGATGCTAAATTAGAGTCACTTAAGAAATCTTTGACTTTGAAGATTAAAAGTATTTCCCCATTATAATTACTGTACTAAGCAAAGGGTTGGTTGCAGTCCTATCAGAACCCTTTTGTTGAAATAGAAAAGCAAATTGCATTAGAACAGAATTAAGGTTTTTTTTCTTTGTGGAATTCAGTCCCTTGCAATGTTGGAAGTGCAGTAATAAACAGCTTGAGCAGCTTTCTGGTGGTTTGATCAGATGAGAACAATAGGGTTAATTTGGGAGGAGGGGTTGTTATTAAAAACTACCATTTTGGTTATAAAGTGCTTATTTGTCTGTTGTAACCATGCAGTCTATTTTTGTGTTGGGGTGCAAAAATGGGTTCTGGAGTACATTAGTACTGCAATACTGACCAGGGCAGTAACGAGTAAAGGGTGACTGCACTGTGGAAACCTTGGGTCAGCATTACGTCCAGTGTTTGTCGTTCTTGGAGTCAGCACTGCACTACCGAAATGAGTCCATTCAGCTGCTACCGTTGGGAGTATCTCCTAGCAAGCTTTCTAATGGGAATAACATGCCTGGTTTTCTTAGATGGGTGAACAATGGCTGCAGGGTAAAAAATAGTGTCCCACATGTAGCAAAGACTTTGGGAGAAAAAAGGTGGCAAGTGTTGGTGGGAGTTGGCTGTTCTTCAGACACACATTTTTAGTTTACTTTAACTGAAGTTCACAATTATTTTTTTTTCCCCTCATTTTGTTTTATTTCTGGCTTTCTTGGCTGTAGAGGACAATATTAAATGTGACCAGAATGTACTCAAAAGTTTCAAAAAATAGAAGGCAAAATAAAAGAAACCTTTTTTACTAACTGCTGTGATTTTTTTGTCTTTTTAGTCTAGTTCAGTGCTGGGAGATGGGGCAGAGGGGATAATTATTTTTGTTTGGTGACACAGTAGTACAAGAGATTTCAGTTTCCAGAAGATGCATATGAGGAGACAAGGATTTGTGTAATGTTCCTGTCCTAGTTAGGGATATTAGCACGTACTTCATTTTTTAAGTGGTTGCTAATGGCATTTTTGGTTGGGAAGAAAAGGAAGGTTTATTAGAACCATGCAGTTTCTTTTTCTTTTGGTAGGCCAGTGGGTAACATGAAAAAGTTTTGGGTTGTTTTGGGTTGTTTTGGGTTTTGGTTTTGTTTTTTTAACACCCCATCCCCCCAAACTCTTAAATACTTAAGTGTTACCACATTTTTCACCAGATCATATTACTGCAAAACTAATTTATAGTTTTAATTATATTCAAGTGGAAGAGTTGAAGCACTCAAAAAGTTGTGCTCTTCGCAGGCTGCTGCTGGTAGACATTATGCTGGTAACCAGTAGTCCTCGCATACGGGGAGGATCATCAGATAGCAGCTGTAGGCCCAACTGCTTCTCATTAAAGCTACTGGATGACTCCTGTTTCAGTAGGCTTTGAATCAGTATGTTGAAAGATTTGGACAAAGAAAGATACGTCCTCACCCTGTTGCCTTAATGAGCATGTGAGAGAAGTCACAGGTGCTGAGATGTTCTAAACAGTCGGTTCAAAAGCTGGATAATTGCCTGCCTGTAGATGGTTTCAGAATGTAATTGTTATATTGCTTCATACTGGAAATGTCCTGGGCTTGCCTACAGCTGCTAAATATACTGACACTCTTGCTGGTGCAGAGACATTTTGGTTGCCAGTGATTTGACTTCCTACCAGCTGAGGAGTGACAACATTTAGGGTCAAATGGAGAAACCTGCACAGATGTGTTATGGGAAGGGCTTAGGGAGGCAGGGATGCTGGTGTGCAACATCCAGGGACAATTTCAGCCTCTGGAAGGGGAGTACAGCCACCTTTCCAGTCAAGTTTTTTAGCCTGTGTGCCACAATTCGGTCTGCTGATAGACTGGCAGGCAGCCTGGGTGAGAAGGAGCTTGGGGGGATTGTAGATTTGTGCATTAATGGTATTTGCAGTGTCCTGTTGCAAGACAGACAGTATTTGACGCTACAGGTGCATTACTGTTGAAGGAAAAGGTATTTACTTATTAATGATATCCCAACGGGTTTTCTTATTGGGCAACAGAGCTGAGTGGAACTTGCCACATGATCAAAGCACTAGCGCTGAGCTGTAAAGTTGGTGGAGAGGTACTTGAAAATTCTGTAAAAATAAAACAGGATGCTTTTCTCTCCACAGTTATACAAAACTTAAGCTGCAGGTGACTCCAGAAGGGCGCATTCCTCTGAAGAAGTAAGTTCTGTTCCCCTTCCTTACCATGTAGTCTTTTCTGACTTTTGAGTGTGAATATAGGTTTGGGATGAACATGTGACCCCTATGTCTAGAATAATAATTTTATCATCTGTTTATAACACATATTGCAGGAAAGAGTGGCCAGTGATACTCAGGATGTCTCTGTTCAAACACCCTTTGGGCATAGATTGTCCTTGTGATCTTGAGCAAGACATTTAGCTTCTCTGCCCTTGTTTGTTCCACTTGTGTAAAATAAAAAAAACCATAATTTCTTTACCTCAGAGACATGTTGTGAGGATAGATACATTCAGATTGCATGTCACTGGGGTTATATGAAGAGAGCAGTGGTGACTTTCTTAAATAACTCTCCGCTGTAATAGGGGCTTGTGTGGGGTAGAGTTAAACTCATTGTGGGCACCATTAAACTCACTTGTGTTACCAAGCGGCCAGCAAATGGAAATAGATAGCTAAAGACATGGTAGACTGGGAACTCATACTCAGTCTTTAAGCCACATGGGCTGTCAAGGCATGTCTTTAAGCCATTTCCCTCTGTTTTGTCTTTGTTTTGCAGCATATATCGCTTGTTTTCTGCTGACAGAAAACGGGTAGAGACCGCATTAGAAGCTTGTAATCTTCCATCTTCCAGGGTAAGCAGCTGAATTTATTCCAGGCCCTTACAAAGTGTTGTATGTATTCAGTGGTGTTTATTCTCTACTGAGTTGAGGACAGTTTCTTCAGGGCTGATCATGCTGTGCTGGCTTTGCTGCTGGATAGGTCCTGAGCAGCAGGTCGGTCTTTCCCACACAGAAGTTCCTGGTACCCATCTGCAAATCCGAGTACCTTTGATTTGAAATTGTGTAGGGACCAGGAGTGCCTGGAAGAAGTGTGAATGGATGAAAGGAAAGGGCAGGGAGTTGTGTGACCTGGCCCGGAGAATCCTGTGAGAATGGTTTAAGAATCGGTGACTGTCACACAATTTTCAAGGCATGATTTCAGAGCAGTGTTAGCTCGAAGTGTAGTAATGGTGTAATCTGTTTCCTTCTCAGGAAAAAAAAAATCTGTAGCTTGAGTTAAGTGACAATTTAAACTCACTGTAGCTTATCTAAAAGGTGCATGGAGTAAATGTTGAAAAGCTATAGTATCAAAACTGTTAATGCTGAGGGGATGCAGCCATTGTATGCTGCTAATCCAGGCGCTCTCCTCAACTTGGAGCATTTGCAGGATGGTACCTCACCCTCAAGAAGGCTTTTTTCAAGAGGAATGAGCTCAAGCAGGTGATTCTAGTTAACACTGGAGTGAAGATGTCCTTAGTCTTTCCTCCCAGATGGAGATTCTCCTCCAAGAAGCTTCTTGCAGGATAATTCCAACGCTCAGAGGCCCAAGAGGTGGGGCAGAACTGCTCTGAGGCAGAGGAGAGCCTTCATCTCCTGATCCCTTGCTTGTGTAGAAAACTCTGTGCTGTGATGTTTGCTCAACATTTGCTTCCCCAATGGTTTAATAGAGCCAAGTCCTACAGCTCCACAACAGCAATGGAGCAAAATCTTCACAAGCCAAACCTCAGATACCCCTTATCAATGAGAACTTCCTTCATAGGTTTGGGAGCTTAATTCCATAAAAGTCCAAGGAATGTCTGTAAATTAGGTATAGAAGAATATAATAATCTTATCTAATGCAAGATTGTGAGGTTAGAAACATGGAAAGAATAATTTTAAAGATGGGGTTTCATTTAACTGTTAGCAACCAAGACAAGATGTGCAAATAATCTCTGAAGCACTGCTTTTTAAATCAGTTGATTGTCATGGTTTAACTCCTGCCAGCAACTAAGCACCACGCAGACACTCACTCCCCGCCACCCAGTGGGATGGGGGAGAGAAGGGGGGGG